GTACTTGATATAACATTCCATGTTTTATGAGTTCATATAAAATCCTCCCAAAAGTAACAAATGTCATATCTATCAAAGAGGAAACGACAAGCTCATCTATTCAAGTCGAGAATCAATAAACTACAACTTTGAAATCACTGGAATTATTACCATAATTTATTATGCTATTTAGCCTCTGATTCCAGGTACGCTAACAATAAATGTAACATTTTTATATACTGCATGCATATATAGCTATGTACATATGCATGCAATATATATTGTGGCTCCATCTTTGTTAAATAAATACTAACATCTAGCAATATGATGTGCATTTTGAAAGCTTAAGATTCAGTGTAAATAAATTTCAAATTTGGTGAAATAACAGTAGATTTTCATTTAATGGAAAAAGATCAATTGTAATGCGCAGACATGAAACTATGACACTAAGAGAACCAAACAAATACATTACAAAGGTTGAAACTCGGCACACACATAGCTTTGATTACAGTTCAGAAACAAAAGAACTTGTAGTGTATCTAATTCATTCTTCTCATGCTCCATAATTCAATTTCAATCTCTCTTGAAAATGAATGATTGTACCACCACATAGCTCTTTAATAGGCACAGCGTTAAAGGAATGACATACCATTGAGGACAGCTATTCAATTTTCAATTTTAACAAAATATTACACAGCTGCTCTGTATTCTCTTTCTGTCATCTGAGAAATAATCATTCAGATCCATCTACTCTGTGGCCTGTTGATGCCTGCCGTCATATATAGATCACACGCGCGAAGAAAAACCATTGCTCTCTCTCGGCTCTTATTCATTTGCTCCTGTTACACACTGCTTACAAGCTGAAAATTAGCAGTAACCTGCATGGCTCTTGCTCCAGGAGCTGCGCGCTGGCTCATCTGATGTTCTTAATCAGGTGCAGCCTTTGTAATAGGAAAGGAATAGGGCCAGGCTTGATTGGCCCTGATGACATCTCTGCTCCAATTGTCTAGAAAATCTTCAGCTTTAATCAATCTACTGGATAATTCCCAATCTCTGACTGCTGCTTGCAATTATTGGCTTATTTTTCTCTGAAAATACCATTAAAATGGGTTTTATTTCAGGTATGGCAGTGATAAAACCGAATTATGCCCAGTATACAGATTGCCCTGCAGTGTCAATGGAAGCCTTGGCTTGTAATATTGCTATGTGCAGAATACTAATGGTGCCAGTTTCCGACACAGAGCTGATCATTGACATTACTGATTCTTCAGTTTACTTTTGGGAAATAAATCAGAGCTTTATCGCGACATTATGCCACTTCGAGCACGCAACTTTGAATTACTCTTATGTTTCAGGTAAACACGCAGCCATACTGCCGAACCGTCTTTTGTTATTTTAAATCAATTGTGCATTTCTTTTTTGTGAGGGCACAAAATGATCTACTGAAGGGAACATACCTGCACAGAACTGCTTGCAGTACAGACCGTCCTCTCCTCTCTTCCTCATTCTCCGTTGCCGTAGCAACGCACTAAAAGCGTCCGCTGAGCTGATGGAGAGGAAGATGGAGGAAAACACTGACAGAGCCATCAAGACTGGTGTGTAAATACGAGCTTTACATTGTTTTATCCTCACCTTTACACAGCAGAAAGAGATGCCACGCCGCCCTGCTGCTTGGCGAATAGCAAGCGGGTCTTTGTAGCCCTCGGAGAGTCTTTAAACGTGCGCTGTGGCTCGGTATGCTAATCGCCAAGCTAGCAGGTTAAAAGACGTAAACATGGGATTGTAATTCTAGCAGTTTTGAGCTAACTTGACCATTAGCCATTTATCGCATTGTAGAATATTCAAACCGTTTAGTTACTTCACGGAAAAACAGCATCACAGGTGCAATGAGCGTGGGTGCTAACTAGCTGGATTACAGTGCAGCTAATAATAGCAAAAGGTTGCTTCTATGCTTTTAAGTTAAAGCCTCACTAAGCGATTTTTTTCTGGAAAGTAACAAGTAAACTTCAAACAACTGTCCACAGTTTGTGCTACCGCTGCAACTTATATGGCATTTGCATGTGTTTCACCGGCTGTATAGTATCTTTAGGTAGACTACACCTGTGCACACGTGTGTTTATTTTTGATCCCTCTCATCTTGACACAGGAGTTAGCAGAGTGGCGTCCTTAGAGAGATGCTCTCGCAACAAGACAAACTATCTTTCCTCATCTGAGATAGCTCTAATTCAGAGTAACTGTAGCACCCCTTTAACACGCTCGTACATTATTATTATTATTATTATTATTATTATTTAATTGGGAGTGGCCATAAAATTGCATTCCAGTAAAAGCACTACTTCAACATATTTATACTCATGAATAGTAAATAGTAACCATCAAGGACATTAGTCAAGTAAGAGTAAAAAGGTAATTTGTGAAAGGTTACCCATGAACTGAGAAACGGATCATAACATCTAATTTAATATTTAAAAATGCTGTCATTGGATAGACAAAAATATAAAGTTTAGTGTAAATTCTTTCATTTCAAAGACTTTAAAAAAATTACAATGACAAATTCAGGCAGAGCAAACACTTTTCCAAATAAAAGGATAAAACTAATACAATTCTACTCACCTCTGATCATATGTGACTATGTGTTGCTTAAGTACTCATATAGGAACTGGGAAGTATGTATTGAAATTATTAGTGGGAATTAATTAATATGGGCATTTTGTCATCATAAATAAACAAATTGATGCAGTACTTTTTCTACACAGATTCTTTTACTGCATTTTTTTTAACATCCAAGAGCTGTATTAAATGATATAAAAGATTAATCGTGTATCAATAGTACATTTTTATATAAAATAAATCAACTGCTGCTGCTGAGTTTTATAGAAAACCTTAAAGCAAAGTTAGACTTATGTAAATTCAGCATGTTTTGCTTGTTCTGCAGAAAATGAAGCTGGAGGGGAAGAATCCTTAGGAGGGAATGTCAACAAGCTGACAATAACACCACCTGCATACACAGGACCTCTACGGAAAGGACATCTGATTTTTGATGCTTGCTTTGAGAGTGGTGAGTAGCAACACCGACAAACAATATCAGAGAATGTTTAGGAAACCTTTCCCCTACACTAATTGCGATAGATCATTGGCTTTGGAGAATGCTATACTACATTCAGACAATCTGTATGTAGCAAAATAAATAATGCCAGATAATTACATACGCAGTATAAAATGACAGCTTTTTTCATTTTCTGATATTACATCAATCTACATTTCCTGTTTTAGCTCAATTAAGATTGGCTAAAATTATTTCTGTTTGCTAAGTGCCAGTAAAATGAAAGAAATAAGTTTTATTTTGGAAGTTTTATTATCTGTATTTCATAGAAAAACCCAAACAAATCAGCAAAATGTTAGGAAAAGGAATGTCGTCCTTTACAGTCTGTTTTTTCTTTGAAAAAATTAGTCAGATTCATAAGATGCCACGTTCATTAGCATTAGCACAAATATAAACCCTCTTCATGAAATACACTTCAAAAATACAAAATCTTACCAAGCATTTTTGTCTGATTCTGATTTCTAGTACAGATCTCTTAGTACACTTGAAATAAGACAAAACTAACCAACAGCTAACTTTTCAGCAAGACACAAGTAATTAATTCCGTAATATTGATTTTAAACTATTCTTATGACATATTATTTCACTTATAACAGTTTTCTTTCGCATTTAATTAGGAAAAAAATCTCCCAGTGGAAGTAGAACTTTTTCATTTAGAAAATAATTCTACAGTGTGGTTTAAGGATTACAAAGTCAATGTTTTGAAGTCCCGTCACAAAGCTCTAATCTCAATTTCAAGAGAAATTCATAGTCAGAAGTGAACATTTGTGTTCAAACAAGGAGGGTTTCGCATGGGCCAATGTTCCAGCAAACTATTGTGAAAAGTTACCCAAAATGTTTGCCCCAAGTGAGAGTTTAAAGGGAAGTTCATCAAATAGCACTTGTAACCTTTTCACTATAAAAAAGGAAACTTTTTTTTCTCTGTGCTTCACATTTATTAACGGCTGACCTTGCTGTCATTATCAATGAATACATGGCCAAAATAGTTAATATTCTGAAAACACAATCAGATTTCCTTTGTTGTCACTTTTGGTGCATGTTGTCTGCATAATGCATAAAACTAATCAAGCAAAGGCATCAAAGGGATAAGAAAATGCAGAACTAGCAATCAGTTTTGCACAGACAAGAACCTTGCGAAGGTCAGTGGAAATAGATAGCACCACTGCATAAACATCTAAGTATGTTACTTTTTGAGGTATCAGTGTGATTATTGGCCTTTTTATAAATTTGCCTTTTCCCTTGATGACATGGGCAGAGGAGCAGGGACATTGATTAATAGGTGCATAGCTCCCACACAGAGATCAGCTAACATGCGAGTATGCCTCGCTCTGGTTGTATCTCCTGAATGATTTATGGTATTGATATTAATCTCTTTCCAATAAATGTATTACCAAAGTTATAACGGGGTGTAAATTGATATTTTTGAGCAAATGTGAAATTAATATTCTGCGACTGTTTCATTTAATCATCACCGGTTTTATCCACATTACTTCTGTGATGCTGTGTGCTTTTCTGTTTCTATTTACCTACTTTTGTCTCGCCCTGTAACTAAGAAGTCTGGACTTGAATAATCTCCCTCTGTGTTTAGAAGGCTTTTGCTGCTTAATACAGTACTGCGTCTGTCCTCTAGGCAGCCATAGAATGTTTCCTTATTAAATAAAATTGTGTTCCATATTTACATGTATTTGGATGGAAATGTTAAAAGTTCAAACATGAAGCCCCTGAAAAACTTTTGTAGCCTTGTCAGTGGAAATGGTAGACGATAAAGTGCGAAGAAAGAATGTTTTTTGTATCATTGTGATGATGATACAGTTGTTTCATAGGTCAAGTATATTAATCAATACAAGGTTGTGCAGATTCAAGATGCTGTTAGCCCTTTTGTCATATCATATCTTAGCAAGTTTGGTAGTTTGGTACTGGACCTCTTTAGGAACAAAAGAGTACCAACGCCTTTGGGATATCTTGAACTGACCGTGCATCAAGTAGTATACTTACCTGCACCATCCTCTGCGCTCTTGTTTTTTGGTTTTGTTGTGTTAGCATAAAAAGAATAAATATGTATTTATTCAAGTGGAAACTGGTCATATAAATTCTTCGCCGAATGTGTAAAACCTCCCTTTTTTCAAGCTGTGTGCTAAAGAAGTCTGAGATGGTCAGCAGACCTCCATACAGCAAATGCATAATGACTTTGTTAGTTTTGGGTACTGAAACTTTTAAAGATGTGTTTTTAAACTGACATCTTATGACAACCAATAGAGTTGTGTTGCTATTCTTAATGTATACAAATGGAATTATATGTATTCGAATGGAATTTGTTGGACAGATGAGGAAATTATTTCTCCTTATAGAAATGAGAAGATTTTCCCTAATCTTTAAACATTAAGTTCCAGCCCGTTGTTTCTTTTAGTGGCTGATAATTATTTTCGCATAATTATTATTATTTTTTTTGTTTTGAAAATTGAAATTACATTCTTATCTTATCTTTTCACATTTGATTTGTTGCACACTCGCACTTAGCCAAGGCTTAAAAGTAGATCTTGGTGGTGAGGAAAATTGCATCAAAGGCTTGACAGGAAACAGGTAGTGGTGGCTTTGTTTTGCTTCACCTCTGGACTATTCTTCAAATGTAATTAAGCCCTCATTGATTCGTCACACTACTCTCTGTCAATTATGACTTACAATATGAAAGAAAGTCCTCAGGAGTGGCAAGTGTTTAATGGGATCCATTGACAAGCTCAGCTCATAGATTCATCCCTTCTTACATTACATTCATGAAGATCTCAAACTTACCAAAAACTTTTTGGTAAGTTTGAAGTTCATTGTCTAACTTGTTAAGTTTAGTATTTGGTCATTCGTTTAATTATTTTATTCAGCTCAGTTTTCTTTTCATGCTGTCGGTTCTAAACATGCCATCTCCATGCACTTTTCAGAGAAAAAGGCAGTTCAGTACAATCCTACAAGCATATTTCAAGGCAGTTATATACATTCTGAATTTGTCCTATGTCATGATCCGTGGTTTTCTGTGTGTTTTTGAGTTTTTCAATGTGTTCCTGTTTCCCTGTGAGTCTCTGTCCTGTCCTCCCCGTTGATTGCTCCCCAGGTGTGTCTCATTCCCTTAATTACCCCGTGTGTATTTATACCCACCTGTTGTCTGTGTTCCTCGTCGGGTCCTTGTCAATTGTCAAACGTTTGCAGTCTGCGTCTGTCTGTCCGTCTTCCCAGTTGTACTGGTTAAGTCCTGTGTCGACGTCAGTTCCAGTTGATTTAGTCTTCGTTGTCAGTTGCTACCGGTGCTTAGCTGCGTGCTAGTTGTTCCTGCCGTGCTGCCTGATTTGGACTATGTGAACTACATTCATCATTAAATTCATCTTCACCATAACCTGGGTTCTCTGCGTCATCTCCTCACCACTTCAACCCCACTTTATGACATCCTAGATGTCAAACACAACAGTCCAGTTCAGTTTATTATTCAAATTGGTTAAAAAGTCTCTGTTCAAGTCAACCCAGCAGATTGCATTGAGTCACTGACTTGCATCATTCAAGTCAGAACTCCCTGGTCAAATTACAGAACTACTGTGACAGATTGTGTGCTTTCGTCAAGGTGAGAATCAGCCTACTTTTATAAACTAGGACAGGAGTCAGAAACAGTCCCCATTACTGAAGTCAAGCTACTTTCTTTCATGTGCATTCACAGGATATTTTTCATTGTGTGTGCCTGTTTGTATTCATCCCCACACGTTTGTTTTTTTTTCTCTGCGTGCACCGTGAACTGTGTTTAATATATGTGGCCGTTTTTTTTTTTTTTTTTTTTTTTTTTTTTTGTCTGCTTCACTCTCTGAAAAAATAAAAAAATAAACAGAGTTATAACTTGACAGAGGAAAAGCTCATGAAACATAGAACTTGTGCATGTCGGATAGAAAATAATTTTGGTAGTACAGATGAAAAGAAAACATGGATTGTTAGTGGGATGGTTGGCGTTTGGTGTATAAAAAACAGCTGGGGTTGTCGGGAGATATTCCTGTACTCCAGAGTATGCTATGAATCACGATAGTCAAGTTTCTATTGATTAAATAAGAGCGAGAGGTTTTTACAGTGAAGCCTGATACAATGACTTACTTGAAGAGTCTGAAACATGCTGCAAGTACGCAGGTCTCTGCAACACCTCATTTCTCTCTTCTTTTTTTTTATGAAACAGTTCTGATGGAAAAGCACCCCAAAATAGAAGTGGCATTTTTTTTATTAGCATATTTTTCTGTTTTGTAAATCAGCATAAGTGAAATCAAGATTTTTATTTTTTTGCCACCGTTCTACCTGCACATAAAAATTCTACTTTGTATTTTGCAATGCAAAGTCATAGAATCTATGGATGTTTTTTGTTTTGTGTTGCTCACCAGTCTCAGAATGACTCGTCTTTATGGGCCTTTCAAAGGCGGTGCTACTTGTCTGAATCACTCCTGATGTCTGATGTATTGAGAGGCTCTTCCAGTCTCTTTCTCTCTCTCCCTCTCTCTCTGTTACATGTCCTTGGCAGCAGAGAAGTTTCACCGCTCAAATCACTAAATGGCCTCTCCAGTTTTCCCTTTTAGCAGTTTTCTCTTCTCGCTCATTCTTTTCAGTCAGGAACAAAGTATGGAGATAAATTGGAGCTGTCTTTGGACTGCTGGAAAGACTATTGCTTCTGATTTATGCTATTTACGGACCATTTGTAACCATAAGAGATTACTCTTTATTATTATTGTGTGTTTTTGTTTTCTTTTTACTCCTCTCATATCCCATCTTTGACTTTCTCCGGACAGTATTGTTATTTTTATTACTCTATCCATGCCCTCTCACGTACTGTCTTATATTGAATTAACCCTTACAGTAAGCTTTCGTCAAAGTTCTGGAAAGTGAAAAAAAAAAAAAAGGCTCATGTCATGTGTGTTTAAAACATTCATTATTAGTATTTTTGAATA